TCTACCTGCTGCAAAACTGTTTGTTGCCGAACAACTTGTTGTGAGCAGACCTGCTGTGTGCCTAGCTGCTGTCAAACTTGCTGCCAACCATGCTGCTGTGACTCTAGCTGTTGCCAGCCTTTATGCTGTCAACCAGCTTGCTGCAGAACATTCTGCTGCCAGACTCGCTGCTGCAGGCCTGCCTGTTGTGTCTCCAGCTGCTGCCATCCATCCTGCTGTTGATCAACTTGCTTTCCCAAAAAGTGCAGTGATTCTACTTAGAGGCAGCCATCTTCCTACTCTACACTTTTGTTATCAACCTCTCTCCCACTGATTAATTTTCTCTCCACCATCTTTCTGTTGAAGGGCTTAGACTCCCTTGTATGTAGTATCATCCACTCTCATCTAGTGCTCTTCTGTCACATTATGTGGTGACAGCTTTGTAAATGAGCTATCAGCTCCATGCCCGTTGGCTGCAGAGGGGAATTATAAACATTTTTTTTTGTTCCAGTTGGCCAAGGCTCTGACTCTCCCTGGTTCTCCTTGCATCTGACACTTTAGTCAGATCAAAATGTTGTGAAGGAGAGGAAGTCACTCTGTTGTGATCATGATCTGACCAATTGCATCTTAAGGGTTAATTCTTGAGATTCTATCTTTGTAACCACTCAGTTGTTCTTCCTTTATAATAATACTTTCAATTTATTGTCAATATATCTATTCTTTTATTAAAAAAAGTTATTTTATGACCAATATGGCTTCCTTGCTTATATCTTAATAAATTCTGCTCATCTGCATAACCTTCCTTGTTCTTGTAAATGTGTGAAGTACAGATATTAATGATGATGGGGGTGATAATGCAAGTGATCTTAATCCACCATTCATAAATCATCCAAAGTGTTGAGTTCTTTGCCCCCTAAGAGTAATGGGTTTGTGTTGATCTTTCTACACCTTTGGGACCAATGGTAGACAAATGGGAACTGAATGATATTTAAATCCTGGCTCTGTTACTGACTATCCTTGTGATCATAGGAAGATAGTTGAGTTTCCTGATCCTCACCTTCCTTCATCCGTAAAATGAGGGGGCCTGACTTGAGGACTTCTTTGTTGTTTTCTGGGTCTAAATCCATGATCCTGTGATCCTATGAAAGAGGCAGTCAGTTAACTAACATTCATTAAAGGCTTACTATATTCCAGAGACTGTGATAAACATTGGGGCTGCAAAGAAAAGCAATAATTTTAGTCCTAGAGGAGCTTATATTCCAGTAGTGGTGACAACAGGTAAGTAACCAGTTATTTGTTATAAACTCATGTATGTGTGTTTATGTATTATGTTATATATAGAGAGACGTATAGAGTGACAGAGATAAAGAGAGACAAAGAGACAAACACAGACTGACAGGGCAGACAACCACAGTCACAGTCACAGTGACAGAGAGACTGAGAAAGAGAGAGACAAAAACATTAAGTGCACAGAAAGAGACATACACAGAGACAGAGAAAAATAGAGACAGAGAAAAAAGAAAGACAGTTATAAAGAGAGACAGAGACAGAGAGAAAGACATGAAGTGACAGAGTTGGAGAGAGACCAATTGACAGAGAGAGACACAAAGATATCAAAACATGGAGAAATAGATAAAGAGTCACAGAGACACAGATAGAGTGAGACTAAGAAAGAGATTGACAGAGCAATGACAGAGAGCAGCAGGGAGGGAGAGCCTATATTCCTATCAGAAACAATCATGAATAGAAGGATCCTATTAACAGAAGTATTAGGAACAAAGCCTGGGTATCAACCTTTCAAGAAGATTGCAGCATGAGGCTGTCTTCCTATGGGTAAGGTTATCTTCGATTACTTTTATGGTCCTTTTCAACTTCACATTCTGTGATTTTTTTTGATTTTGAGGCTTGAAGATGGACTCATCTTTGCAGCAGCCTGACCTGTACTTCCACTGTAGCTGTGAGGATAAAGTGACAAAGAAGAATGAAGAATCCCCAGAAGAAGGGCATCTTTTAGACATATCAACTTCTTTGCTGGCTCCCAATCTCATACTCTCTTTGCCATAGTCTATTGTAAGGTTTTAGACTTTTCTTTCAGGTCTAATGCCTTAAAACCAATAGAATAGACACTTTTTGGGTTGGCATACCTAGGTGCACCTTGCTATAATGCAAGTTAAAGTGAGCCTCTTTCCTGGAAGGGAGGAAACGGGATGTAGAGGAACAACTAGTAGAAAGATGGATGAGTCCATAAGTGCAGTAACTGAAACTAAAGGAATTCTAGCAACCCTTGCATTTATTCTTATCTAGGCTACTCATAAAGGGGCGGTATGGTATAATAGTTCCCTCTAACTGTCTTGGGAGTATGGAAGACTTTTCCAACATTACTGACTCTTTGACTCTGGAGAAGACATTTAAGACCTCACTGCCTTGGTTGCAAAGCAGTTGCCAATCTGTCTTGGTAGAGGAAGAGGGAGTTCTGCAAAGGGGATTTCTGAACTAATGAAATTTTGGGTCTCTCCTGCACTCTCCTGAAAAAAGCCAACTTTTGAATGCTATATTCAAAGGTACACTGGGTCTGCCTATATTTTAGAATGATATCGTTTTCTTCATATAAAAACCCCTCAATTTGCAATAGAAAAGTTCTGAATTGCCTTGGGCTTCTCCAAATTATTCTCCAACATAATCAGAGCCAATTTTGTAA